TATTTTTCTTCGTCTTCGACTTTGTCTTCGTCTTTTGCTTATTCTCCTACTCGTTGAGCCAGCTGATGTTCCAATGTCCAATGTCTAATGTCCATGGACGCGTGCTACGTGCCACCCTTCGCGTCCAGCAGTTGGTTGCCCCGTTTCGTATACATATTCGTATACAGTGCATACTTTCAGGCTGGTTTACCCATTTCGCTCGCTTGTCATTACTTGGCAGCAGCAATGGCAGCAGCAATGGCAGCAGCAATGGCAGCAGCAATGGCAACAGACAGCAGCAGCAACAGCAACAACAACAACAACAACGAAAACAGTTGTTGTTGATTTGCGTTATTCGTTTGTTATTGTTTTCCATTTTTACAACCATTTTTATGGGCTTTGGGCCTAGATGGGTTTGCTTTCGTATGGAGTAGTAACTATAACAAGTATATATATATATACATATATATATATATATATATATAAATATATACACACACACACACATATGCACATAAACTTTGTTGTGTACATTCATTTAACTTGTTGCTTTGCCATTTCAACTCGCCTGTCTGGCCTGACTTGGGGCCAAACAATTTGAACGCTTTGCCCTGGTGTGCAACAAAGTAATCAAGTCAATCGCTTATGTGCATTTTAAATGGTAACGTCTACAATTTCTTAGCCCTTAACTGTAATTGTGAGTGATATTCCCAGATATTCCACTTCGGTGCGCGCCTTCAAATTCAATTTGCAATTCAAACACTAAAAAGGCAAAATGAATAATTTTCAATTTTGTATTTGTAAATTTTAAATTCAGTTTGAGTTTGATTTAGTTAACATTTCCAGCCAGTTCGTAGTTCTGCTTAAATTAGCCAGCAAACAATTCCATTTGGATATATGTCCTTGAGCTGGCACCAAAATTACATCAGACAGTTTGAGGCTAGTCCTTTGATATGATTTTTTTTTTTTTTAAGTACTTCAAAGTATATAGTTCAAAATTAATTACACTTTTCACAAGGGTTTGGTTTTTTTTTTCATTTTACATTTGCTTACAATTTATTTTTTGTAAAACACTTTGAACATTGAATTAAAACACAATTTGTAGTAAATAATTGAATGAAATACAAACTCAAGAGGCAGAAACGTTAGTTGAAGTACCAAGCCATAAGCCTGTTAAGTTGCCTCGTAATCTGACAATTCGTCAATTCGTTTGTCAACTTCAACATTTTCTAGGACCTGCTGACACACACAACTTTAAATGAGCCTTGGTAATAAGCAGAAAATCATAAAAACAATTTTTAAAAGGACATTAAAACTACAAAAATACAAATTAAAATTGAAAACGATAAGTATTTGATAACGATTTGTGTTTACGATTTTCCTGATGCTCATTAAATTCACACAAAAAAAAAAGAAAGCTTTTCCATTTAAAGAGGCTGCATCAATTTTCGTAATCGCCTGCTGCTGCTGCTTGTGAAGAGTTGTTGCCATCAATTAGAAGCAATCAATCAGTGTGCATAATTGAATTGCGCATTAAGAGCAGGAAAACACACAGCCATATCAAAAGCATCAACAACTCAAAGATTGAGGCAGTCATCACTTCAGGAGTTCAGTTGCCCGAGTCAAAACATCGGCAACGGCAAATGTACATGTAGTTGCAGGTCCAGGCTTAGGTCTCTGATCCATTACCAATTCTAGCTGCCAGCTTGCCACGCCCACGCCCACGCCAACATGTCATCTGTCATGTGATATGCCGCATGCCGCATGCGGCATGTGTGTTTACATTTACAGCTGGCCATTAATTGCTACGTTTTGGGTTTGTCGTCTTCATATCGGATTGATTGAAGCTATTTTTGTTTTGCCCTTCTCTCCATCAATCAATATAAAAACAACTTTGATTGCTTTAGTTGAGAGTGCTTCACCCTAATATAAATTCGTTATAAAAGGAAGCAAACGTATCAAATTTGCTATCTCTGGCTCTAGGCTAATCAGGTATACATATATATATATATATATATATATATATATATGAATGTGTACCCAGCTTGGCGATATTAGCATCTGCCTGTTGCATATAATATTTGCGGGATACGGTTACCACGTTACCGCCATATGATGTGGCCTTAAGCTGTTCATTTCGTGCCACCTTAACAAATTGTGTTCACCTGCTACAACCACTGCCGTTGCCTTCCCCGGCTTAAATATCTAAATGCTCCCTGGGGCGCCGCTCAACGCAGGAATATGTAAAGTGCCATTGTGACTCACATAAGACTGAAGTGCAGCTCAGGCACTTGCCATAAGGCGTATGGCCATTATACATACAGAGCTCATATAAGTGCTCGCATTTATGTTGAATATGTTAATAAGCTTGGCCAGAGCCAACGCGACAAATTTCATTATTCCGAAAAAAAAATATATATATATAAATATAAATCCACTTTTTCCAAATAATCTCGAGCAATATTTCTTAAATATTTCTTAATGCTAGCTAAAAAAAAACAAAAATATTATATAACATAAACTTAAGCTATTCTTCTGTATGCTCAAAGGGGATCTGAGCTGGTAGCCAGTTGACTTCATCCTTTGTAATAAAGTGTGCACAAATAAATGACAGTTGTTGTGTTGTTGTGTCTATGTTTCGATGTGCGCACATTAATCAATAATAACAAATATAATAACTGCGAGCGAGACGACTTAAAAAGTAATCAATTTGACGCAGCATAGCTCGAATTACACTTTTCTTATCACGCATACGCAGCGTTGGGCCGCCAATAATTTGGAAAGTCACATAGATATAAATGTATATATGTATATATATATATACTCGTATTTGGAATACCATCAGTGCGCAGCGAATTGCAGCAGACCCCTCAAATTATTTGCCATCAAATTGTATTGATTTATTAATGTCGCTCATCTTTCGACAGTTGCCATCAAGTTGCCAATGTTATCCATGAGCGTATCCATATCGAATGGTTGACACACATCGGATCACATTAATTTTGAAAATGTCTCAATAAAAATCAATATCAAATATATATGTTTTGTGCTTTATGGCTTTATCAAGCCCTCGTCACTCTGGTGATGAAAATAAAGATTGTCAACCAATTTACATCCACTGGCTGTCTGCACAACATTTGTGCCAAACATACGTACGTATTCATGCATGTGATATATTAAAAACAAAAACTTTATATATGTTTTACATATTCGGGAAGTATTAAATTAACAGCTTTTAAATCTGGCACATAAGCTTTGACCAAAATTGAATAAAATTGATGAAGTTTTGAATGATGCCGGATTAGAAAATATGTTTTTATTTTTTTTGTGAATGTGAAAGAGTTGGCTTAAATTGGAATTAGTTTTGCTTAAACAACAGTCTGATCGGTTTCGAATGCAGTTTATTACTTTACAAAAAGATGAGTACTGACAAAGCTTATCAATACTGTATCAAGTTTGGCATCGTACTTGATTATTTGCATACCCTTGCAGAAAGTATTCTGATATTGACGTGAGATTTGGAAGATACTGTAAATAAAAAAAGAAATACATATTTATGGGATAACTATATTAAATTTGTGCAATATGTATAATCGTTGGAAAGCTAAGCAAATTCTCTGAGAGCACATTAAGTCCGATCTACAAGCATATGTAATATTCAATATGCGTTCTTCTTCAGCTCTCAGTTTCTAAGCTCTCTGCTTGATTTTCAAGTGAGCCTTTTATCTGGCTCTGTGTCTGTTCAAAAATTGTGCAAATAGTTGTGCATACCGCTTGATTTGCACACCTGAATGTGTGCTTCAAATAATAGATTCGCCAAATTGTTGTCGTTCTTGTTACTGTTGTTGTTGATGCCAAGTTGTTGAACCCCACATACCTGAGTTGAGTTGGTGTTGCCAATTGTTTTTTTTGGCTAACACGTCGCCTTCCGTATCTATGGGAACTCTGACAGTGTTTGGTTGCTTGCCTGCCAACAAGTTTTCAGATTTTCAACATCAGCTCTCTCTGTCTCTTTCTCTCTGTCTCTCTCTCTCTCTCTGTCTCTCTCGTAAAATAATTTGATTTATATATGTTTGCCCGGAGTTTAAAAAACTTATTCAAAGTATTCGTTCTGTTGTGGCACTGGGAATGAACCAAAATACTCCTCTTGATAGCGAGAACATTGAAGTACAGCTTCTCTTTCGGGTCAGTCTGTGATAGAAGCCGGGCTAACAGGTGAATGACCAACAGAGACTTTAGCTTCTAATTGGCATCCACATTGCGTTGCCGCCGCGGTTGAGCTGTCAACGATGATGGCAATCCTGGCTGGTCCATCCAACCATTCAACATCAAGTTCATTATGTGGGTCAGTTTGTGCAGCTGTCGAGCAAACTAGTACATATATCCTTAGTCAGCATTCACATGGCATGTGCAACTCACATTCAGTTGGGCAACAAGGCATTCCCTTGCAGCATACTTTGCAGCTCTGCTGCTGGCATGTTTTTAACAACACTCAAAGCGAGTATTATAGTGCTTCAGCAGGGTAAGCGAGCAAATTCCACAACAGAGGTATAAGTTTTGTTTCATTTCAAAAAGTTTGTTTGAATTTGTATCTGTGTATTTTACTTTGTGTGTTTTTATTGTATTTTTTTGCTGGCTATTTTTGATGATGATGTGCAATTGAATATGGCAATTTCAAAGAAGTTGACAATATTAAAAATAAAACTACTTCATTTTCTACTCAAATTCTATTCAGATATTTTTTAAGTTATACTATTATGCTACATTTGAAGGAGTTTCTATATTTTATAAGAAAATTAAACGCACGTCTTTGTCTATCTTCGATTTATACTTATTGTGTGTAATATTTCATTGCTATTTAATGATTTCTCGATGATTTCAATTACGTATTAACGCTTTAAATAAACTTAGTTAGTAATGAAATATTTTCATTTGCTTTTATCATTGCAGGCCAAGAGCGAATAACGTGCAACGGAGTGATGCCGCAAATTGTAGCTGTAGTACCCGTAGATTAAGTGGGCGTGGCTGCATTCATGATGCGACTGGCGAAGTTGACGCACAGCTTTACGCTCAAAAATGCAGCGCAAAAGTGCACGGATCAATCACACGTCAAGGTTCACAAAGGGAGGGGGCGGCAGTGAATGGGGGCAGGGAATAAATACCATTTGGGAATCCGACAGGCAGGCGGGGGGGCGCAGGCGACTTGACGTGATCAACTCTAAATCAACTCTCTCATTTCCCCAATGTCTCCCATCAACACTGGAAGAAAAACATGCCCTAGAATTTAGAAAATCCCATTTAAAATTTTACACAAAAGTTACACAACGAAATGCAAATCTTTTTTCCTACAATTTGTGGAAGTCTGATAAAAAATACAAGAATCAAATACAATTCTAAATTTGTGAATTAAATACTTCGAATCTTAAAAAAATAATTGCATTAAACAAAAATTTGTTCGATTCACAAAGGCACATTCTGAATAAGAAAATAAGAAACATTTTTGGGGATTTTCTAAAGTCTAGGGAGTATATACATATATATATATATATATAATATATATATATATATTATTTGTGCGACTGTATTTGAGTTTAATATTGTTATATATTTTGTTGCGCACAGCGTCACGGCAGCAGCAGCAGCAACGGTGCGGGGCAGAGCATTAACGGCCTGGCGGCCACAGCGACAGCAGCAACGAGGGGCAGCAGCAGCAGTGGCAACACCAGCTACACCAGCAACAGCAACAACAGCAACAGCAAGCGCAAGTCAAAGCCAAGGACAAAGTGTTTCGGTGGCACAGTGTTTCGCTGTTGCCTACCTTGTCGCGGGGGCGGCTCCGCAGCCCCCGCCACAAGTCCGCCCCAAACACCCGCGCAGACACCGGACGAACTAAAGCCCAAGACGCAGATAAAAATTGATTCGCAGACACGCAACGAGCACAAGCAACAACAAGAGCAACAAAAATATCAACTACAGCAACAGTTGGATAACGAATTGGAAACGTGTGCCCCGGGGGAGAAAAAACACTCGCTGGCCGATACGATTGGCACATCGGTTACCACACCCATATCCCTAAAGACGCTCATAAACGACGTCGACGAGGACTTGGAGCAGCATCTAAGCGCCGCTGATATAGCAGCCGCCAGTTTAGCCAGCGGCTTGGTGGCTAGACGCGCTGAACCCGAAACACTCAGTGACGCAAGCGTCTCACCCACCGTGGTGGTGCTGCAGCTGTCCAACACATTGACAGCTAGCACAGCGCCCAGCCTAACGCTGCCAACAGACGTTGAAGAAGGCATCGCGAACAGCAGTCTAACGACAGCAGCAGCAGGCACAGCAACCCTGTTGTCGACAATCGCCAGTAGCGTCTCCCCAACGTCGCCGTCGCCCAGCGGCATTTACAGTGTCAATCAGCAGCCAAGCGGCAGCAATAGCAGCAACAGCAGCAGTAGCGGCGGCGGCGGCGCTGCTGGAGCACCAGCAGGATCACCGGCAGGTACAGCAACAGCAGCAGCATCAGGTGCAGCAGCAGCAGCAGCAGCACAGCGTTGCAGCTGTCAGCCGCAGACTTCACCTCTGCCCCATATCAAAGAAGAAGAGGAATCTGAGCAGCAACAACAACAGCACGCAAACAATCGCCAGCCATCAAATACGAACAGTAGCAACAGTAAGGACAAGAGCAGTCCCATCAAGGGTTTTGAGGAACCTCTGCCACCCATTACCATTGCTGGCGGCGGCTATTGCGGCAGCTGCGAGAGCGTGCATCACTCGTCGGGCACCTCATCCTCGGCCACAGGCGTCGGCGTCGGCGGCGGCGGCGGCGGCAGTTCGACGCAGCAAGAATACGTGGGCGCCTCGACGCCATCGCCACGCATCAAATTAAAGTTTCGCAAGCCGCACAAATCGTGCTGGTCGCGTATTGTACTCGCACCCATTGGCGGCACCGGCGGCACTGGTTCCTCGTCGGCAACGGTCATTGGCAGCAATTCGAACGAGACTTTAGCGTCGAGTGGCGGCAGCAGTACCGGCAACACAAATACCAATAACAGCAGCAGCATCAGCGTTGCTGCCCATCATCGCTTGGCCTCATCTTCCGCATCGGCTCTAGCCTCGCATCCCAGCAACTCGCAGCTGTTGCCCACCAGCAAAATGCAGGCCGAACAGGGATCTATTGGTGATCTGCAAAAGTATCACAGTCGCTACCTGAAGAATCGTCGTCACACCCTGGCCAATGTTCGGTGAGTAGCCAAACAATTTCCACATTTGATGATATATTATTTGGCAAGAAATGCCATCATTTTAAATAGTGAAGCTTTCTTAATTTGTTACCCCAATATTTAAAATAAAACATTTTTATCGATAAATGTATCTGTTTTGCGACATATTGATGAAAATCGATAGCAAGCAAAAAGTAAAGTTATTAAAAAAGTAAAACTTTCTTTCTTATTGTATGCTGATCATCTCTAAATATGGCATTACAATCGATTAGGAAACAGGAACAAGTTTAATCATATAATCATATTTTTAACAGTATATATTTTCAGTCGTGTATGCCCTATGATAGCTAAAGTCAGGATAGGGTTCAGGGTATCTCCCAAGCGATTGAAATCAGTAGGGGGTCCAAATTAAATTTCGCAATTTTGGTTGGTCTTGGATTTTGTAACTGAGATAGGTCGGCTAGCAAGTGGAGTCAGTCTTATTTTATTTTCTTAAGTTATTAAGATTAAATCCTTTTTTTCCTGTTCATACTTAGGATGTTAACATTAATTAATTTGAGAAGAATTTGTTGATGAATTTCGAGCGAAAATTGTATGTCGAAAATCAAACGTAGTGTTATGTTAGAGGTCAAACAATGATAGACAGGATATTGCTAGTAAAAATCGACTTAGTTCTGACAAATTGCTGTCAGTGATGAAGCGCTTAATTTCGGCGATTTTCAAGACATAATTTCCAAGTTCAATAAACAATCAACTGGCTGTTTATGAAAGCCCACAGTTATACAATACTACCGGAATTTTGTGATGTTGCTAGCGTTTGACATTGTGTTGGTTTTTGGCCTTAATATTGACTTTGAACTGCTCGCTGCTCAGCTGCTGTTAAAAAAATAAAAACAATGAAAATGGAGATTAAAAAAGAGCATAAGAAGCGGGACAAAGAAAGCCAAAACACTGGCAACCGACATGAAAATAAACGGTAGACAAACAAACGCCAAAATACAATACTTTTATTTGTCAATATTTATACAAATGCGGTGCAATATTTATAAATTGCTTAGATCCAAACTTGATTAGTGGCAGGTGAACGCATTCCAGCTGTACGCATTTCAATATGGATTACGTGGCGTATGCTCAACTGACAACAACTGCACTCAAAAGTTGTGGCCTGCAGCAGTAACCAGCCATGGAGCCAGCCAATTGGCGCAACTTACAATGAAATCAATTAGCATTAAGTCGACTGACTTAATCAAGTCAGAAAAGTTAAGTGACAAAAACTTTTCTGCCAGAAGATACGCAAATGAAAAACAGTAGAAAAGAAAACTTTCCCCGGCGCAGACCACAGCTGAAAGCTATAAACTTATAGACCATAAAGCATTTTTACCCTGTTGATGCAAGTCTGCTTGGATTGCAAATCGAATATGCATAACTGAATAGGTTTGCCCAACAAATGAACTCAATTGTGAGCTGACTAAATATGTGCATAATGCTTGTCAAGGACTCGTAAATAGATTAATCATTATATTACTATACTTGTTGTTACTTTATTATTATTATTCTTCACTTTTGAGCAGATGAAATGATATAGTTGCCTTAAATTATCCATAAGACACTTAACAAAACTATATCTTTGAACTCTTTATTTACTTTATTCTTATACCTTGATACCGAAGCACTTAGATATTGGAACATATACTGGTCTGTGCCCGCGTCAGATTGGAGTGCTATGTCCACTAGGGGGTTGGGAAATCGATAAAATCGATGTTCGCAAATCGATAAAGCCACATATCTCTCACAAAGATCGCTACGATAAAAGCCAGTATCTCTCGCAATTTAGGAGCTACAGTTATCAAACTTGGAAAGAAGATTACTAGAAACTTTCTTGATCTTGGTCAGCTTGGTATACTGTGGGATTGGGTTAGGTCAGCCTACTCTGCCTAGACTTAAAGCAGGAAAGGGGAATCTTAGGATCTTGGATGGTCTTTGAACTCACAGCTGCTGATGGAGAATTTTAGACTGCTGAGGCTGATTTTAAGCTACAGGTCCATGAACAACTGGGTGTGGTTCATAAGCTGCCGAAAAAGCATTTTACTGCAAATTCTGCTCACATTAAAAAGCTATTTCACTTGTTATTTCAAACTTGTTTTTAACTTTAAGAAAAAGTGGAAGAAAGGAAGTAGTCAGTTGTTGCGTGTGGTGCTTTGCATTTATTACTGTTTAACCGCGTCTTTGATTATTCACGCGACGAAAGATGGCTGGCAGCAATCTGTTAATGTTACGCCTGTTGTTGTTGTTGGGTCTGTTGTTGCGTCTGTTGGGATTGCGTCTGTTGCGGTTGTTGCGGCGTCTGTTGGCACGTATTCTGTTGTTGCGCCTACGTCTACGTTGCCTGCGCTTGTTGTTTCGCCTGCGATTTTTGCCTGGTTGGTTGGGTTTTGGTTTTGGGGTATCCTGCCCATCGTCAATGTCGGTGTCATCTTCAGGGTCAGTGTCAACGTCGGTGTCTGAGCCGTCGTCGGTGCCGTCGTCGGTGCCGTCGTCAGCGCCATCGTCGGCGCCATCATCAGCGCCATCACCAGCACCATCACCAGCGCCATCACCAGCGCCATCACCAGCTCCATCATCAGCACCATCATCAGCGCCATCATCAGCTCCATCATCAGCGCCATCATCAGCGCCATCATCAGCTCCATCATCAGCGCCATCATCGGCGCCGTCGTCGGCCCCATCATCAGCGCCATCATCGGCGCCGTCGTCGGCGCCATCATCAGCGCCATCATCAGCGCCAGTATCAGCGCCAGTATCAGCGCCAGTATCAGTTCCATCGTCGTCGCCTTCTGCGGCCATGGATAGCGATACCCATAGGCAGAGGCAGGCCAGGAGAATGAAACGTGAGCTTAACTTCATGATGTGTTGCCTGTTTCGAATGTCAACTCTATTTTGCCAATACTGCTGATTCTGTAGCCACTTTTATAGTCAGTGCTGTCTTAGAGGCCAAGCATTAAACATTTGCTGTATGGTAGACTTCTTATTTGATCAACTTGTGATATCAAAATATGTCGAATAGAACAATAGACAATGAAATTGCATATAGAAAAACTCCGCTCAAGTGATGAAAATAATCACATTTGTGTGTTTAGAACTGACAGCTGTGCAGCTTCGTTCAGCTCCCCGCAAATACAAATAGCAAGAACAATAATCTAATAGTCGCAAGTGAAGCCATGCCAAATTCATGCAAAATATAATATAACCAAAAACAAATTCACATTGTTTTTCCAAATGTTTCTTAAATATTCGCTTTGCGTCATCCAACCAAAAAAAAAAATAAAAAAATAGTGCGTCACCAAAACTTAGATTGAAAAAGTATTATGATATTACTGGAGTAAGAGTAATAATTTGATTTTGATCAAGATGATCAGGGTTTGAAGGTTGTATTTGTAAAACTAAGTCAAGATGGTTAAAAACAAAAACAAAACTCAGCATTTGATCGATAATTTTTAGGTCAAATTCGGTCCGTTTGGAAGCATCAGGTTTTTCCTTTCACATCATAACTATTCCACTTATCCAATGACCCTTGTGAACAAATGATCAGGTCAGTCGTCATGCTGCATAATATCGGTCATAGTATATTAATAACAAGCCTATGCACCATCTGCCATTAAGTAAACTTGCCAAAAATGGAAACAGACCTTCATAGGTCACTGCCTGTGGATGTAAACAATTGTACGTAAGTCCACTTGCATCTGACTCTCAATGCCCCCAGCATGGGCAAAATAACCTGAAGAGCACCACAAACTGGATGTATTTATACATATTCGAAATGTGCAGCTTGCAGGCGAATTGCCCGGCCTGCAGCGACTATATAAAATGTTGCATCCCCAGTAAAAGCAGCAACACAGCTACCCCAACAGCACTACAATGCGCATCCTCTGGCTGCTTGGCTTGCTTTCTGCCCTGATATTGGCTCCGTGCTCAGCCAATCCTGCCTGTGAGTGCACAAGCACTACCACAATACCAACAACGACGACGACAATACCAACAACAACACCAACGCCAACGTGTCCACCAACAACACCAACGCCAACGTGTCCACCAACAACACCAACGCCAACGTGTCCAACAACAACACCAACGCCAACGTGTCCAACAACAAGACCAACGTGTCCAACAAAGACGACGACAATACCAACAACAACACCTACAACAACACCAACAACAACACCAACACACACACCAACAACAACACCAACAACGACACCTACAACCACACCAACGACAACACCAACGACAACACCAACAACAACACCAACAACGACGCCAACAACAACATCTACAACAACACCAACGACAACACCAACAACAACACCTACAACAACACCTACAACAACACCTACAACAACACCTCAACAACACCAACAACAACACCAACAACAACACCTACAACAACACCAACAACAACACCTACAACCACACCAACGACAACACCTACAACAACACCAACAACAACACCAACAACAACACCTACAACAACACCTACAACAACACCTCACCAACACCTACAACAACACCAACAACAACACCTACAACAACACCAACAACAACACCTACAACCACACCAACAACAACACCAACAACAACACGAACAACAACACCTACAACAACGCCAACGACAACACCAACAACAACACCAACAACAACACCTACAACAACACCAACGACAACACCAACAACAACACCAACAACAACACCTACAACGACACCAACAACGACACCAACGACTACGACGAGGACAATACCAACAACAACACCTACAACAACACCAACGACAACACCAACAACAACGACGAGGAGACTACCAACAACAACATCAACGACAACGTATCAAACATCATCGAGGCGACCACCGACAACACTAACGCATCGCACACGGAGATTACACCATAAAGCGGCACCAACGCGCCGAACAACAACGAGATCACAGCCTAAAACAACACCAAAGTGTCGAACAACAACGAGATCACAGC